CATAAGGAGAAAAAGAGTTTGTTTTCAGATAACCTTTATTCTTAATTAATTGGCTTACTCTTTTTTCCACATCCAAATAAAATGAACCAGTGTGTTTAGGAACTAGAAAATAAATAATTAAATAATGTATTTGTATATAAATATTGTAATATACTTTTTTGTACCCAATGACTGGATTTCTTCACAATACTTAGTATGAAACCACGGTACATCAAATTCTGGATAATCAATACATACTGCTCTATTTAATATCATTAATAATTGCCTTACTTTTAATGGATATGTAGCCTAAAAATATTTAATAAAAAAAATTAAGTTAAAAATTAAAGTGATAATTTAGTTATTAAATATAAATATTTAAATACAATTCACCTTAGCATAACAGTTATTTAACTCATCATCCAATTTTTCTAAAAACTCGACACTAAATAAATAATCTTTTATGGTTGTAGGCAGACTATAAAAATAACATAAAGCAAGCGAAGCTCTCATGAAATTTAAACCAGACATTTTAAACTTATCCCTAAAAATAAAGATAAATTATTTAGTCAAAAGTAAAAATTATTTTATCTGAACTTTACCTATTTATGATTTCAGTGGCATAAGGTAGAAATTCCATAAATTTTTCACTATTAACTCCATACAAAAAAAATACTGTTAATATTTTTTCCACGTTTTCAGCTAACAAATATTTGTGATTTTTAATTAAATACTTTAGGCATTTGTCCAAGAGATCAGCATCATACCAATCAGATGTAACTAAATTGTAAGTCAGTTCTCTTATAATCCTAGATGAAAAATGTTCAGATGTAAAGTTTTTATACCTGTAAAATATTTTGTTATTAAATATTTAAAAAAATAATGTTATTAAAAAAATTATATTATTTGGTATTTACCCATCAAGTATTTTATAAAATAGTCCTGGTTCTTTAACATTATATCGATGATTATACCCTCGATACAAGGAATTTAGTTGATCTAAACTTAAATTTGGTTCTTGATTTATAATTTCTAAACTTCTTTTGTTAAGTGCAGTACACAGCCTCACCTTAATAAGAATTTAAAAATGATAACATTTTACTGAATTATAAATATATACAAAGTGATGCAACAAAATCAAAGTTGATTGGTTAAGATATAAAATATATGTTTTCAAAATATGTATAGTATACTATTATATATTTAATTCAGTATATTGTCATTTTCTAAAGATAATACCCAATCATTATACGGGTATATAATATGTACCTATGACATGGCCTAAAGATGTATATTATCTGCTTAGAAATTCCAAGTTAGAATATAACTAATAATGTACCAATTTCCTTCAATAAATTTCAGGTTTATATACTAATTGCATTCAATGTAATTTTATTGATTCTTTACAATTCTAGGTTATTTAATATGTTATAACTTTGGGTTGTAATACTAATTATGAAATTGAATAACTTATTGATTTAGTAAATAATTATTAACTCTTTGAAAAGAATCTAAATTAAAATTTGGAAAGGTAAATACAGGAATAAAAATATACATAATATATTATATTATAATTTGTAGAAACCACCAATTAGTTAAGTCTTTTTTCTGAGTTCAGAAATAATAGAACCTAAGTTATTTAAAAAAAGAAAAATCCTGGAATTTATAATATTTGGGAAGAAAGGGAATAAATACAAACATTTATTACCTTAGCTTCAAATATTGACAATATCCAATAGCCACCAACAACAAAATATGCAAAATCATCTTACTTAAACATTATGTCCCTGAAATTAGGTAAAAAAAATTAATTATGAATAGATTTTAATCTTGAACTGTCCATTTTATAAAATAGTGTATTATGTATTACCTATATAAGATTTTATTTATTTTAATACTTTACTTTATTGATTAATTATATAATTTGTGATTACAAATACGAAAAACAATAAAAATAATATTGAATGCAATTGGTACAAAAGTGGTATATAATAATATTATTATATTAATTAATTAATACTAAAATTTAAAGTCAAATAAACAAACGCTACTTACATATTGATCTAAGAACATTGGTAATGATGTTTTGTTTTTTCGATTTATAAATGCAGTATTCAGACCTCTACTAATAATGTAACAATCATAAACACTGTATTGACCAACAGTGTCCAATACTTTTTTAACCATTATTTCAGGAATTTCATACCCAATATTTTCATTAGGGTAGCTTATAAAAAATGAAAATATTTTACTAAATTTGGATGGAATTATTGCTGACACTCCTTGCTCTAATTCCTCATTCAACCAATTGATCATTTGGTTTTCAAATTTATAATGTCTGTATGTTCCTGACATGTTGTTATTAAAATTCATGTATCTATAAAAAAAAGTTTTCTTAACTTATACAATATAAAAACAATAATAATAGTTTTAATTTAAATAACTCTTCCACCCCTTTCAATCTGATCATGCCACTGAGCTATGTAAATTAAAAATGTTAACCTGTTACATATTCGTAATAGCTTATGATGTTCACGAATTGAGGGTTTCCCAGATATTAGCCAATCCAATACACTTGACCAATAAGCATTGCATATTTGTACATCAGATGTTTTTAAATTTCTGATGATATTGAATAAGGGTCCAATACATAACTGAGAGAATGTATTGTTTAGCAAAAATTGTTTTCTTAGTAAAGATTCTATATGTTTTCGTCGAGATGCGGATGAAGATGGTACTATACAAGATAATAGTCGAAGTACAGTGATATCAGTATCAACATCTGCTTTAGATAGCCATTTAGATGTCTCGTTGTGTATTTCCTCAAATAACTGATACAGTTCAGATTGTTTCACGATAATCTTAAACAATTGTTAATTATTATTTTTTAAATAAATAAATAAAAATAACATTTTTTAGAGCATGATTTTAAATTGAATGTGTGATCAAAACATATTTCATACCATTTGTAGCTGTATCATATCATAAAGTGCTATGTGTTTAATAACACCTTGTAAATTGAGCAACAATGATCTAGTGAGATTAATGTTTTGATTAATCCAGTAAGGACTATTTACCAATCTCAGTACTTTCACTATGCATTTAATTTTATCATCATGTTGTGGTTTGTTCAACAAAGTGTGTTCAACTAATGTAACAAAATTATCCATGATAGATTTATTTAAAAACCATGGCAAATTGTACAAACATATTGAAATATGTTTTATATCTTCATAAGTTTCACATAAATCTAAGACAACAAACAATAAGTCATAAAAATTAAATTTGGAGTTTGCAAATGTAGGTTCTTACTTAGTTTTTTTAAAACTATTGGCCAAATGTCTTTAAGGATATAGAGACCCAAAAGGTCTCTATGACTTACAATTGATACCGTAAATCTGGATAGTATGCAGGGTTCTATGTCTTCTATTGGAGTAGTCATTAATATTTTTTGCAGTCTATTTGATAGTTTTTTACTCGCTGTACAATTTATATCAACTCCTATTTTATGTAAACACAATAAACTATAAGACAAACATTGAATGTTCATCAACTTATAATGTTCTTCCATTAAATTCAATAAGTTCAAAAAATCATTATTTGTTAAAATGTTTTCAAAACTATCCTCAGGAGTGATATAAGAATTCAAATTCTTTTCAAACATGCACACTCTGTAGTATATTATTTGAAGTTCTCTAACCATTGCTATAGCCATAGATATATTTTTCCAATTCAGTTGATTATTGTTGTCTCGCAAGATATCAAAAATATCTTGCAAAGATTTACATTCACTTATTTTTGTTGCTAGTGTATCATTACTATCTGCTAATATAATATTTTTGATGTCTCGTTTTTGTTCAATATCCTCAGTATCACTGTCAGTTTCATCTCCTCTAAAAGAATGAAAACAATATTTCCTGTGAAATTGCTGGATTGGGATTACCGATTTTAGAGGATTTATTTCATAAAAATTAGTACACACAGTATTGTAATTTATGGTTTTATATCTTGTTTTCATGTGAATAACTTTGTTAGTTATTTTTAAATTTGTACCAAGTCGTTTAAATAGTATCATTTTACCTGTCAAAAAAAAAAAAATTAGCATAATGTATTCAACATATTTGAATTATATTTAAAATTAAAATACATTTCTTTAAACAAAAAAATCTATGCCATTGAAGTTCCAAAGCTTCAATCATGAATTTTGTTACAATTTAGATATTTTTTTAAATTTTTTCTAATTTCTTCAAGATTCAACAAGAACCACTGATATTGTGTTGTTATAAAGGAAATAGTACATGATACTTTTGAAGCATTTGTTCTAAACGAAAACAAATAATTTTGTTTGCAGGTACAGCTCAAAAACTAAAAATAGTAGTAGTACAATTAAAATAAATAATTTAAACTGAAATTGTAATTATCATGTCAGTAAAATATGATGTATTTTTTATACTTAAGAAACAATATTAATTTAATTTTCAACCTATATATTTTGAGACTAAATACAGATTTGAGCATTTATCAAAATATGGGCTTTATACTTATTATTAAATTAAAAAAAATATCAATACTTACTCAATTACGTATATTTATATAGCACGCCATGATACAAGTGAAAATAAAATATATTTAATAATTTGTTTTAGTTTAATTTCTTTATAGGAGTATAAAATATAAATCAGTTAGTCTTTTTAATAATTCTGGTTTACACTATGACTTTTAAATTTAATCATTAACTTTAATAACCATTTGTTATTTAGTACATTATTTCAATATTAATTAATAAGTTTCAAATTTTCAAATTTTTATTTTTATCTTGTAACTTGTAAGCACGGCAATAGATAGTACTATCTTAGTCCATGCTTGCTTATGACATGTGTTTGATAACAAAATTTGATAATGATCAATCGTACCAAACTTTCAATAATAATTTAAAGTTCTCTGTTGTTTGATGACATCATCATATTTCATGGTAAACGTCATCTCCGGTCATACTGAATGTGTTTGAGATTCAATTTTTGTCTTATCAACAAATTCGAGTTTCTCATTTTCTCAGGGTTTCAGCTCACTAGTGTTACTCGTGTTAGGTAATAGGTATTACAATTTTCAACTTTCAAGTTTTGATTTTTATTAAACTTATGTTATATAGCAAATGATATTATTATTTCATTCTGTCTTAAACGAAGAGTCTTTAAGTTCTAAAATTCCTTACATTATTGCCATTTATATTCATTAACATAATTACAGGTAACAGAAGATCATTAATTATTGAATTTGTTACATGTATGTTATGATTATAAATTATTATAATATAAAATTTACAACACTATTGTGGTTATCACTTTTGAAACTTCATTAATTTGCTTAATATATATTATTAGCATTAAATATCAACATTATGTCTGAAGCAAAAGTTAACAGCGAAGACATAGAAATTATATTCCAGCGGCTTAGAGCTTTGCCAGTCAATAAAGTAAATATGCTTTAAATACTACTATACTCTACTTTCAATAAGTTTTTATTAAGCACTATAGTCTATAATGTGTATAATTATAATATGAGTGTAACAAATTATATGCAAAGCACAAGACCTTGACTCGGTCCTTGATCATTGACTGATCAATATAATAAAAATATGATATTTAAAAGGTGCATTTAAATTAAATAATATATAAATATAGATTTTATTTAATGTTAATACATGAAGTAAAATTATTTTGATTAGAAAAATGTGTGATGATTTAAAAAAAAATCATACCTCAGTTTATATATTATATTAAAGAATCAAATGTATATATTTTTTGACTCAATAAGTTTTTTATTTCAATAATCAAGTTTTTATATGTTTTAGTGAAATAGATGATTTCAGTGATTGCTTGTATATTATTTAAACTTACAAAAGTATAAATATTCAAAATGTATTTTTCTATTCTAGTAATTTATTATAATGTGTACCACTATAAAACTCATAGTATTGATAAAGTTAACTTTTTTAATTTAAATGCCAACAAACCAATTGATTACAATCCAGTGCTTGATATGGAGGGAGGAACTAAGTCCTCCCTATTTTTTGTAGCTTGCCATTTCTATTTTATTGAAACTGAAATGGGGAAACCGGGAATGGTTTTTAATAAATAAGTGTGTTTTCTTTTTTTTTATATGTTTGTAGAACAAATGTAGTATTGTTTTGTTGGAGGGGGTGTGGGGCGAAGCCCCCACGTTAATGTTACAATTAATTTTGTGTGGAACGCAACCAATATCTGCTGCTGTTTTAATTGTTTTCCAAATCAAGCACTGTTTACAATATAATATTTGATACAAATGAGCTTTTATTATTCTTCACTTTGAAAATAAATTATAATATAAACTGTTTTCAGACATGTTTTGACTGTAATTCAAAAAATCCAACATGGTCGAGTATTACATATGGTGTGTTTATTTGTTTGGATTGCTCTGCAGTGCATAGAAGCTTGGGAGTTCATTTGACTTTTGTAAGGTCTACTCAATTAGACACAAATTGGACATGGTTGCAAATGCGGCAAATGCAATTGGGTGGAAATTCAAATGCTGTAATAATTACTTTAATTTTTATATAGTACTATAGATTTTAACATTAAATACTTAAAGTTTATATATGATATGTTATAGACAGTTTTCTTCAGGCAGCATAATTGCATATCTAAAGATGCACAACAAAAATATAATTCTAGGGCGGCTCAACTATATAGAGATAAACTTTTACAAAGTGCTAAACAAGCAATGAAAACGTATGGAACACAGGTAATAATTTATACACCCTGAAAAGTTGTATTTATGTATTATTGTATTTAATTTTTTAATGAAAAAATATTTTTACTGAATCAAATGTAAGTTTTATAGAAAATTGGGTATGAACTTTTTATATATATAAAAAAAAAAAGTATGAAAGGTATATGCATTTGATTGCAATATGTGTTTACTAGATATGAGGTATGTGTTACTATATTACACACACTATAGACCATTTGATACTTATACAAAGATTAGGCGTATCCTTGAAATAATAGTGTATATGTAACATATTTGCATGGGCTTTTGTCATTAATCTTTATATTTTGTTCAGTTATTTTTAGACCAATCACATGAAACAATTGAAGTGAAACCAGTAGATTTCTTTGAACAACACACAACTAATGTTAACTCTTGTAATGACAATTTTTTAAGCAACAATTTTATGTCCTTTACTTCTCCTAAACAAGTATTTGTACTCATATTTTTTTATTTAATTATTAATATTAAGAAGTTTTGAGAAGTATATATTTTTTAGGATAATGGTGATACAACACTTCTAGGGGGCACTAAAATCTTAAATGATGCAGCACAAAAATCAATAGATCATAAAACTTTATTAGGAGGTCGTCAAGCTCATAGTAAAAGATCTGGTGTAAGTATACAACTTAGGTAAAGAATAATGATAAATTAGTTAAGTATTTTGTGTTGTTCTGCAAATAATTATTGCTAATTGATCTAATAAAAAAAGTTATTTGTAAATATGTAACTAATGTATGGCAGAAAATAGATACTGTATAAAAATTCTTATATTCAATACAAACATTTTTGTTTTGAAAATATAAGCAGAATGTATGAAATACTATTTAATACTCATGGTGTACCAAGATGAATCAGTATATGCAAATGTTATTTTAATGTATTTATAACTAATTGATCTTGATACATTATGTATAACAATTGTTTGGTATATAAATTATATATTATAATAAAAATATTTCATTGTTAAATAAAATAAATGTTTGCTTTTAGTTGGGAGGCAAAAGATTAGGTATGGGTGCTCAGAAAGTACATGCTAATTTTGCTGATATAGAAAAAGAAGCAGAATTAGCTGATAAAATGAAATTTAGCGAACCAGAAAAAACCGAAAATGTAGAGAAATCTAATGAAGACCAAGAAACTCAGGTACATAAAACTGAATAATATATATTTTTAATTTGTATGGATACCAAACTTATAGTTTAAAAAATTGATTTGTGGTTAACAGATGTCATCAATGAGGTTAGCCTATCAAGATTTAAGTTTAAAGAAGAGTAAAGAAGAGGAAAAATTAAAACAATTTGATCCTAAAAAAGCTGCTCAATTAGAAAGACTTGGAATGGGATTTACATCAAAAAAGTAAGTTTTATATTTTAACAATAAATAAGTAAGAATTGTGTAAATACTAACTATTATTTTTTATTAATAGTATTGTTAGTCATTCAGCATTAAATGATATGACAACACTAGATAAAGAAGTAAAAAAACAAACTATATTAGACCACAATGAAGATCAATTCTATGATTGTTTTGATGATGCTAAGACTCCTGAACTGGTTTTAAAAATGATGAATAAGTAAGATTTTTATATTTGTTTTATAAATAAAAATAGGTATTTAAATATTTTAAATAATGTCATTTTTACTCTGATTCAAAACCTGAAAATATTTAACTCTAATTATTAAATTGCATAACTATTTAAAATTTAAAGATATAAATATTAGTGGATTATTATTTATCATTTTAGTAAAAATTTAAGATCCAGGTAAAAAAATTCATTTTCTCTTTACTCTTTAGTTTGTTATAATCTTGAATTAATTAACAATTTACTGATAAAAATACTTTATTATTGAACACCAATCCCATTTACTAGTTTGGTAATATGCATGCCTGGAGTTCAAAAATAACAATTTATTTTTGATGATATCAAATTTTGAATTTTGGCCTATAGAGCAAAATATTGGTTTTGAACTTTTACCAAAGTATGTTGGTTTGATTTTTTTTTTTACAATTTATTGTTTGGACAGAAATCGTCAAATTACCAGTGATGACTTTATGGACTTTGATGATTCTATTAGAAGTTTAAAATCGTCATATACGCCATCCAACATCGATGTCATTAAAAATGATTGGGATAATATAAAGCCAGCAAAAAAAGTAAACAAAGAAGCTGAAAATGATTATTGGGACTCTCTTAATGAAAATTCTAATAGAAGACAAGGTAGAAATAATAGATCATCAAATTTAGTGCCTCAACCTTCGGAAAATAATGAAGCCTTTAAAAAATTTGGTGGTGCTAAATCAATATCATCTTCTCAATATTTTGGCGATAGTCAAACACAAGTAAGTTCTGTTTGTATTATATTTAGGGGATATCTTTGTATTTCTTCAATTATGGCACTGCTAATTGTGTATAAGTCATAAAAGTATAAGTTAAATTATCAATAGTAAAAGAAAATACTACTATTTCTAATAATAATTTATCACTGTAACAAAAGCAATAGAGTGTAATTTCATACTCAAAATGCTATAATGTGAAAATTTATCATTACTTTATTTTATGCAATTAAATAAAGGGATTGAAAATATTTTCTGCATATTATTGAATTAAATTTAACATAAATAAATAAAATTAATGTTATAAAGTAATGTACTTGAAATATATTAATTTAATGAAATTTAAGTTTTACCTGGAGATACCCAATCTTCAAATCTATTATTTTCTCAATAATCATTTAAAATATGTTTTTACTGAAGAGAATAAAAGTTAACTCAAAATCTGAATATCAAATTTAATTTAATTTCTATCTGATTGAAATCGATTTTCATTGCTGTATTCAATGTTAAAATTATTCCATAGTCAATAATAACCTTATGTGATATTGTAATTAACTTACCTTTCTATTTTATTTATTATGTATTGTAATATTTGCATTATAATTTATAGTTATTGAGGTATCTATAATAACTTGTCGAACGCATAAGAACAAAAAAAAAAATGGTTTTACTTGAACATACAACACTAGTATCATTTTAATGTGAATTAAGACAAGTTTTTATGTTCAAATTTAAACACAAGTTTTAGTGAATTTTCTTTTTGTATAATGTTTGAAACTTTAAAAGGCAGTTGTTTTTTGTTTTAAAAATTGCTTTTCTTTTGCTAACTATATTTTACAGTGATATAGAATTTACTTTGTACTTGTGGAGGGTACAAAATATTATGTATACAAGAAAAAAAATATATCGATTGAGTATTCAGTAAAAAAAATGATTGCAATATTTTATTCATGTTTGAAATATAATTAATTTTTTTATTGTAGTCTGAGAAATCAAATCTTTCACGTTTTGAAGGAAGTAATAGTATTTCATCTGCTGAACTTTTTGGCAGAGAAGAAATGACAGGTGTTAATTCTACATACCAACCACCTGATCTAGATGATGTTAAAGAAAGCGTTAAACAAGGTGTAACAAAAGTAGCCGGTAAATTATCATCTCTGGCTAATGGCATGATGTCATCATTTCAGGTAAAAGAACAAACAGCTACATATACATAGTATATTAATATAACAACATATACATATAATAACAATTACATAATATTTTCATATAATTAATAGATGTCTTATTTGCAGGAAAAATATGGAGGTTATTAAAATGTTTGATCCAATGCATACAGATAAAAAATATCTAATAAATGATACTATAGTATCAGTGTTGTATGGATATATTTTGTAAATAATTATTTAAATTATTTCATATTATTATATTAGTAATTAAAGCAGTTTATTACATTGTTACATTCAACTATAAAGGTCGCTTACTTATGTTCAAACAAAGTGTTAGAAAGTTAATTTGTTCGATAATTTATTACAACAAGTAATAGATGGTACTAAAATAATACAAATAATAATATACATATTTAGTATAAGAAATAATTTGTAAATTATTAACTTATAGTAAAAATCATATTGATGTCATTTAAATTGTAATTTCTAACACATTGTTCTCCATTACTTGAATTTCTAAATTCTAACATAAGTATCCTTGCCAAACATTTATTTTATAGTATTATTTATATCAAGATTATGATTTATGGACTACTAAAAAAATATACTTTTATTACAAAAATTATCATTTTTCTTTTTTTACTTCATTAAAAATTGTGAAAACATTTATGCGTATCGTGGTTAATGTATGTGTTGAAAATGTCAAGTCAATGAATTTGTCAGTCTACGAACATATGTTTTGTTATCGATAATATTGTTAACAAATATAAATAATTGTTACTGTACGTAAGTAATATAATAAACACTGTAGGTACTCTCAAAACTGTTTTAAGATATTACTATGGTGCTTTGGAGACTACAAAAAAATCCAACCATGGTTTTGCAGATTGATCAATCTCCATAAACTATGAAGATAATCCATTATATAATATCTAACCTTTGTAAAAATAATAAAAAAATTATTTTTAATTTTTGAAATGTAAGCCCAAGTGTACTATGCCACTTTTACCTAGTCCTTACGCCATGCAAATAATGCGTTTTTTTTTTGGATTCATAAATAACATATGAGATTATCATTTATCCCAGACCTTAAACTTGTAGTAAATGGAATTGATAAATTCAATGATAAAATTTTGCCAAGGGGCAAATAGCTACCAATATCACAGAATAGATGAAATGTCATCAAAGAGGGTTAAGTATAGGCACAAATTAAGATATATCTTAATTCATAAGTATAGGATTACATGTATAAACAAGGAGAGCTAGCTACAACATTTTTCACTTTCAAAAAATAAACAGAATTATAAAATAAGGAATAGTAGAATGCAAATATTTTATAGATAATGTTTTTGCTACCACAGGATTTTGACTACACTTGTTAGTTAAGAACCAAAAACCCAATAAAAAAACAAAAATAGTGCGTCAACAATTATTGTCTTCTAAGCCTTTAATTGAATATTTGGATATTAGCCACCACAGGCCTTATTTTCTTATATAAATTATTATTTATTATGTCATAGTTCGTTAAAATAAAAAAACTAATATAATAGTATCCATGAGATCGTTAAACTTATACATATTTATATATTGGTATTATAAATCTTAAATCCTGATTTTCATTAAATTTTACATAAATAGAAATACTATAATAAAAATAATACTATTAGTAATGTGAACACGAAGGCGCTTGTGGCTCAACAGTCAACATCTATGAAACATCTACCTACGTCTAGACTCAGCGTTTCTCAACCTATGGTACGCGTACCACTAGTGGTACATGAAAGCTCATTGATGGTACGATACTACGAGAACCTAACGAAGAAAATCTCTTCGGATTCGGAACATTTTTATTATCTTTATCTGTATTATATGGAATTATTGGAATATGGATGTTCGTTATCATTTCTAAGACCGTGAGTCGAATTATGATAACATTACAGTGTATTCTTAATCCATGATTAAAACGGTCACACTGTAACCGCGTTCATCGGTAAAATATTAACCTCAAATATTCAGTTTCAACATAACATTTCCCCAGAATATTGTTCCTTTTAGTACTCAAGTATTTACTGTTTACTTGTTGTGTCGATCGTTTCCATCCCGTTCTGCAAAAATGGTTGATGACAAGTGAGTAACAATTTTCATCTTTATTAATCCTCTAAACGTAAAGACGTATTCTGAATTCGTATATGAATTTTGAAAGATTGTTATTCAAACATTTACGTTTTAATAATTATTGTCCAATGGAAATCGATGTGAACGTCAATTTCGTCTTTTATATGTTTGTGAAAAACATTTATATTAACATGAATTTTATGTTTACAGTGCCCCCAAAAGGCTCCCGGCCGTGCCGGAGTCTGTACTCAAAAGACGCAAAGCGCGCACAGCTTTCAAGCTTAAGTCATTGAAGAAAGCTATTGAGGTATGTAACCAAGTTGCTCAATTTATATTGGTCAACATATTAATTTCCTAAGATATTTCACCGACTTAAATTGAATTTCTATGTTGTATAGAATCAATATGAATTGGGAATATCTTTTAGGTTTCTAAGTTTTGAAATTATATCCACCAAGAATACAATTTTTATATTTATTGATAATGCTCAAAATATTTTTTATCTTATTCTGTTCTATTGGAATCTACATTGATTTATTTCATTATTAGACTTTTGCAACTTTAATGATGTAGGTACTTAAACCAAAAATTCACTTACTATGTACCTAATTATTGTTTTTATTTTGAACAGAATATTTTGTTTTTAATATTTAAATAATACTATTTAAGAAAATGAAAATGTTTCATTCAATAACATTTTATATTCCATATCAGTTTTTTAAATGTATTATTGATACTAGTTATGTGCTATACCAAATATTCTTACAATGCCATATATTTAGTTTATCAAATTTCAATTATTTATTCTTTTTAACTAGGAACGTAAAGAACGCGTGAAGAAAACTAAGAAGTATTTTAAACGCGCCGAGGCTTATGTTAAGGAATTTAGAATGAAGGAAAGAGAAGAAATCCGTTTAGCAAGAAATGCAAAGAAGGCTGGTGACTTTTATATTCCCCCAGAACCAAAATTAGCATTCATCATGCGTATTCGTGGGTATGTCTCCATTATAAATCTTCTTAATAAAATATAATTTCTAATACATTTATTAAAATAATATTTTAGTGTAAACCAAGTAGCTCCAAAAGTGAAGAAAGTGTTGCAACTGTTCAGATTACGTCAGATCAACAATGGAATATTCATCAAATTAAACAAAGTAAAAATACAATTAAATGTAAATACTAAGTATTATTTCTTAACATTTTTATTATTATTTTTAGGCAACATTAAATATGTTGAGAATTTGTGAACCATATGTGACTTGGGGATACCCTAACTTGAAGAGTGTGAGGGAATTGGTCTACAAAAGAGGATTTGCCAAAATCAAGGGACAACGCATTCCAATCACTAACAATGAAATGATCGAAAAGAAATTGGGAAAATATGGTATCATATGCACGGAAGATTTAGTTCATTGTATATATAGAGCTGATCGTCGATTCAAGTATGCAATGAACTTCCTTTGGCCTTTCAAAGTAAGTGTAAAATTCCATTAACTTTTTACTCATAATATTGACACATCCATGGTATAACATCAGTCTAGCTGTTACATCTTCCAAGTTGTCATATAACAAATTATGAAGTGATATGTTTTGTTTTTCAATATTCTTGTTGTTTAAATAATATTTGCCTCATAAATAATTATATACCCAGAAAAAATATTTCATTAGTTGCTAAAAATAATTTCATACTTTATTTTTGAATATTATGTACCCTGGGTAATAAAATAGTCGAACGCAGTCATTTTCAAAGTATTTCTGTTAGTAAGAATTTATTATTATACTTCAAGTAACCCTGTCCCTAATGTATCCAAAAGAATTCTATCAAAAATGTTATGTATTCTTTAAAAAAAAATATACTATATCTTCAACAGTGAACAAGTTTGGCCACCCAGTTAATAAAAAATTATGTGTTATGTATATGCACACCAAAATTTAAGTAGTAAATAATTTTGATTGCATGTTCCACTGATCTATTTTAATTTTATTATTATTTTTCTAGTTAAACACCCCAACTGGAGGCTGGCGTAAGAAGACCAATCACTATGTTGAAGGTGGTGATTTTGGAAACCGTGAAGATACCATTAACAAGTTACTGAGAAAAATGGTTTAATTACAATAAATGTTTTACAAAAATTGTATTTATTTTTCATTTTAATAATATTATGTTGTTATTTTAACCAGATCCTATATTCCTATTTCATAACATCTCTTGCTATACGAAGAAATATTGTTTAGTTGTAATGGTAACTGGTCAATTATCTTGTACCTAAAACCAGCCTAAAATAATGAAGGTTGTATTGTTCACAAAAAGTGGTAAATGGTTTGCTGAATTTCTAATAGTCAGAAAGATGACACCCTTTAAATGTAATTCTTTTTATTTCCATTGAACTTAACATGTATGGTACATATAGTTAAATGGGTATTTCTTACTTAAAACTCCATCTTTAAATCATGATTGTGAGATATGTAATGAGATATATAATGGTGGATAAACACGTAAAAGTTTTACTGTAATTTGATGCTTAGTGCCTTGAAAATTGAGTGAGTAGTACTGGATGATACGTAGTCTATCTAAGACTTATTGGTAAATATGTTATTTGTAAAGGATTGGAAATCGTTTTGATCAGTGGATTCTTCAATCAGAAAAGATTATTAAGCTGATATAGCATTGGTCACACTTCAGATATTTTATTTGTAAGACTAACCAAATATTGCCATATTTATAGTTTTAGTATCACCTACGACTATTGAACTATAGCCACGACCTAAGATTAAGGCATTTATTTGTCAAGTCTATATTCGACCCATGGTATGAGCATTTTTATTGTCCATAATCTATATAGTTATCTTAGATCATGCAAATTATTTAAGATCATAGACCTAAATCTATCTTAATAGTTCAATGAGTTAAACTCGGAATTTAAAATAAATGATAACATTTTATTTTTTTGGGCCATGATATTATGGTATCTTATCGCCTAATATTGCACTTACATTTAAAATGATAAGATCTATTTAATAATAAAAATTCATATTTCACAAAGATTTAATCAAATTCTGTTCCGCAATTCCGCATAATGCATAAATAGCATATTATTAATTATTATATAAATATATTATATTATTTCTGTTTATTATCGCCCATCGGTATTCGAAACTGTTAATTGAATGTATTAAATGTCTTATAGAATCAGAACAGTAATTTTAAGTATAACTGAAAGAAGAGAAATAACCAACGCCTGCATTTTAAGGATCGTTTAGTCTTATCGATTCAATAGATTGAAAGAAAAATGCATTGGATATTCGTATTTCTGCCATAATTATAGTACACAATGAGTACTTTACATAAAAATTGTCTTGCGCAGCCTGGGCGTAAAAAAGTTCAAGTAATGATGATTTAATTGTTTAATCCATATAGGTGTTTTGAAGAAAATTAATTTAATGACTTCACACTATACTTAAAACTATTCATTTTTAATTTCAATACTAGATTTCATTTGTTATTCGTGATGAAGAAGAGCGTAGACATAGAGCTGGTGTTAATTCTTTACAGTTGGATTCTAAGCAAGGAATATTATACTCAGCCGGTCGAGATGGTATAATACGACAATGGGATGTCCGAGATAATGTTGAAGCCACATATTTACGGTCCTTAGAACATCATACAGATTGGGTCAATGATATTGTACTATGTTGTGGTGGAAATTATTGTAAGTTTAAAATTTTTAATGATTTTTGGATCTAAAATAATGTTATTAATCGTACGTTAAGTATTTTTATAAATTAATGAGTGTAAAAAAATATCTTGTTACCGATTGTTATCTTCAAATTTTTCTATAATCTCTTAAAAATATACTTTTGCTACCTTTAAAACTTTTTGTTACTATTATATTATGATTTAATTTTAATTTGATGTTTTCAGTGATTTCTGCAAGTTCAGATACCACTGTTAAATTATGGGGACTTCGGAAAGAAAATACTTGTTTATCAACCTTACGAACTCATAAAGATTATGTTCGAGCTTTAGCATATGCTCGAGATAAAGAAGTGGTCGCATCAGCTGGTTTAGACAAAACAATATTCATGTGGGATGTTAATATGTTGACTACTTTAACTACTACCAATAATACTGTTACAAGTATGTTATATATGAGGTATAACATAATAAAGATTGGTTATTATTAATTGTTATATATTATGTTTAGCGGCTTCTCTGCCTGGTAGCAAAAACTCTATTTACAGTTTGGCAATGAACAATAGTGGTACAGTTTTAATTAGCGGAAGTACAGAAAAAGTTTTACGAGTTTGGGACACAAGGACAAGTGACTGTATGATGAAATTGATAGGTCACACAGACAATGTAAAAGCTTTGGTGGTAAATCGTGATGGTACACAATGCCTATCGGGTAGTTCTGATGGAACTATTAAACTATGGTCTCTAGGACAACAACAATGCATTCAAACATTAAGAATTCATAAAGAAGGAGTTTGGGCATTAGCAGTAATAATTAATTACTTAAAATTAAATTAATTTTTCTATGATTTCAATGATTTTTTCTTTTGTTCATAGGCAACTGAAAATTTTTCCCATGTTGTATCTGGTGGTCGTGATAAAAAAATTTATATGACAGATTTAAAAAATCCTAATAGAGTTCAACTTATATGCAATGAGTCAGCTCCAGTTGTAAAGATGGTTACAACTCCTGATATGGGTGCTATTTGGGTAGCCACATCCGAGTCCTCAATTAATTGCTGGGTAAGCATATTATTTGGCAAATTGTTAAATGTAGATAAAGAACTAATGCTGATTAAAAGAATGTTAGCACAACATAAAAAAATGTATGCTTAACAGAACTAACGTTATGTTGTTACTTTCAATATTAGAGTGAATTCACCTATTCTTAAACTAAGCTAAGAATATTACCTGTGTTCCAACGTTGGCTTTTTTAAGATATTATAATTTTAATACATTGTATAAACATTTTTAAGGTGTAATACATTGTATGAGCATTTTTAAATTTTAATAATGTACAAGCTCGTTACTTCAACAAGAATTAAAGTATTATAAAATAGCCAACGTAGGGACACAGGTAATGTTCTTAACTAAAAGTTTGATAATGGGCGAATTAACTCTTAATATTATCAAAGTAACAACACAGTGTTCAGAGGCTTAATTTTGACACAGTTGTGTCAATTTTTCAAAGTGAGTGGTGCCATCTTGTGACTGTGTCGCAGAATTACATGCTCAGACCTGTTGGCACTTTTTTGGCCACATTTTACTTACATCATAACTCTGTTAGAAGTAAAAATGGGAGGGGTGGTAAGATAACTTAATTATGAAAATGAGTCATATAAAATTTAAGTTCAGTCTGTCACTGACAGTGCTGGTTCTGCCAAACACAAATTTGGTATCTTGTGTGTGGGTCACCAGTATTGGTCTGACATCTTCTTTATAGGATTTGGATTTGAAAACAAATACTTTTGTTTAGAAGTACATGATTGTAAATATTTTTAAACACAATTTAGGTAACCTGTTATATTTTTTAATTGCTTTTTATGTACAGGAAATGTCTTTTTACATTTTAAGTGGCTTTTATTAATTTTATTGCCTTCAAGTCAAATCCTAGTTATTAATAACATAACAAAAAAATTATTGTTTGCTTTGATGTTAATTTAAATGGGACATTTTCTAACAGAAATTAAGAAAAAGTGATGAAACCGCTGATTTTGAAGATGTCCCAACAGTACCATACAATCAAGAACCATTTAGGACACTTAAAGGAGCTGCTGCTATACGAAAATACCATGTACTGAATGATAAACGAACTATACTGACACAAGACACAGAAAAGAATGTTGCAGTTTATGATGTCCTTAAGGTTATTTTCCTTAAAACTAACCTTTAATAATTCATTCAATTATTTAATTGATGTTTATTTTTAATTATGTAGGCTTCTAAACTTCAAGATCTAGGTGAAGTCGATTTTGATGAAGAAATAAAAAAAAGACATCGTATTATATATATACCAAACTGGTTTAGTGTTGATTTGAAAACTGGGGTATATTTATTTTATATTGCTTAATTATAATTTATATTAGTATTTAAAGTAACAAAATATAAGAAATAAAAAATAATATAATGTTAAATGTTAAAATTTATATTTTTATTAGATGCTTACGATTCACTTAGGACAAGATGAAAACGATTGTTTTGCAGCTTGGGTTTCTGCTAAGGAAGCAGGAATTAATGTTACAGATGATAACTTAAGAGGTAATTATAATAATGAATTAATGTAGTTTCCTATACTTAAGAAATATAATTTGTGTTTATTAGTAAATTATGGCAATCGGATGTTGCGATCACTGTTAGAAAATTGGCTTAATCGCATTCAAACAGATCATGGGTCTTCTGATGGAGCCCAGTCTACTGAACTCAATGCTCAGACAAAACTAGATTCTCAGTGTTGTAGAATTCCTAAACATACACCTCTTATGATAAGTGAAGTTGGTGGTCGGTGTTTGTATAGGATGTTAGTCAGCCAGGCCGGAGATGAAAATGATGTTTCAATTTTAAATGAAACTATTCCCGCATGGGTTATGAATGTTATTGTTGAAAAAAGTATACCTAAAGCCCTCAAGATATCGTTTTATCTTGTGCCATTATCAAATACTTGCATAAGGCCTGTAAAAAAGTATGTTTAGATTAATGTATTTAATTATCTTCGTTATTAACCTTTAAAAAAAAAAATTTGCAGTGGTACTCTTCGTCCGAGTCGAGATCGCCTAGTGGCAAATGACTTTATTCAAGTTCAGAAAATAGCTGAGTATATCCATGAAAAGCTGTCTGAAAATGATGGAAGTGGTCCATATAACAAAACCTCAGACTGCATAAGCAATCATCTACAAGGAAATACACCAGAGAAAAATTTTGAACTAAGTTGTAATGATCAAATACTTTCTCCTACAATGGATTTAAGGACTTTGAAACATTTCATTTGGAAATCTTCAGCTGATTTAACAATATACTTCAAGGCCAAACATTAAAAAGTAATTTTTCTTCATAATTTATTTATTTATGTTATTTTCTTCTTATTCTTTATTTATTTAGTTATTTTTCTATTATGATAAAATTCAACCA